GTAGCGATGCAGACAGAAGCGTGTACAGTATGAGCCAATCAGTGGCAGTAATGACAGAGCATGCGCTGTTACGCAAAAACCATGATAGAGTGAAGCCGTGGAAGTCGAAGCGCGAAGTGGCGAGGGTTCAATGTATTGCCTTAATGCATTCCTTTTTCCTTTTTCTGCCTCTTCCCTCGGTAGTTACCTTGCGGTGCTGTAACAGGTAACTCCTGCAGCAGAACCAGTGACTCACATATGAAGTAAAAAGGAATACTGTGAAAGGGGAGTACTCTTGTACAGCCAATTCTTTTATTAAAGATCTATGCATTTTTACAGTCTTCTACGTAAAACTGGTATTTTCCAACAATAGGAAAAGTTTATCTTTTTTTCTGTTCTTTTTTTTTTTGGACAGTTCAGTATCTGGTTTCTACACGGAAGACTAAACTCGTGCTTAATAGCTAAATGTGGTCTTTGCCAACTAAATCTGAAATGTTTAGAGATTTACATATCAATGTTTCTACAGTATTGTTTGCTAATTTTAAAATAAATTTGTGATCAGTGTGCGCCGGTGAAAACACATGTACTCATTCTCTTCCCAGAGTGGACAAGGTCTTTGCAGAGTGGGGTTCTAGAGGAGCGTGGGCAGCCTCTGCCTTTGTGCCAATGTATCAATATAGAATTGCTCTGTTTCCAACACTGTATTTATTGCTGCATTTCTCAGCATTAACTTATCCCATTGTATTTTTTATAAATAAATATTTTTTTGGAACATGAAAAAAAAAAGAAAGAAAAACCAACAGCCAACATGGTAGTCAATGGAGAAAAGACAAAAACAATTCCACTGAAAAAGGGAACCAGACAAAGATGACCCTTGTCCCCACTCTTATTTAACATCATACTGGAGGCTTTAGGTAACAGCATAAGGCAAAGAAAAGACATCAAAGGTATTTTCCTGGGGAAGGAAGCGGTGAAACTTTCGCTATTTGCAGATGACATGATTTTATATATGGAAAAAATCTCAAAAGTGTCACAAAGGGAGTACTGGAAGCAATAGAGGAATATGGCAGAGTGGCAGGATACAAGATCAACAAACAGAAATATATCAGACTGCTATACATATTGGACAAGACCGTAGAAAAGGGGATCATAAAGGTAGTGCCCTTCACAATAGCCAAGCACAAATTGAAATATCTAGGGATATAGCTTACTTAAAAAAACACACAAAATATTTGTATGAGGAAAACTACAGATTGCTATTATAGGAAACCAAGAGTGACCTCCACAAACAGAAAAATATTCCAAGCTCATGGATCAGAAGATTTAACATAGTAAATATGTCAGTTCTGCCCAAGGCACAATATATGTTTGATGCTATCTCTCATCAAAAAATTGGGGAAACTGATTACCAACTTCTTATGGAGAGGGAAGAAGCCCAGAATTAGTAGAGAACTCCTCAAGAAGTAAGACCGAGTGGGAGAGCTTGCTTTACCTAACTTTAGCATTTAATATACAGTCACAGTGGTCAAAACTGCATGGCATTGGTACAATAACAGATACTCAGACCAATGGAAAGGAACTGAAAGCTCATAAATAAAATCATCAGCATACAGGCAACTGATCTTTGATAAGGGTCCCCAAAATATCAAAAGGGAAGCAGATGCCCTCTTCAACAAGGGGTGCTGGAAAAAATGGATATCTACCTGCTGAAAAAATGAAGCAAGATCCTTATCTCACTCCATGCACCAGAATAAACTCAAGGTAGATTACATACCTCAAGGTAAAACCCCAAACTATTAGAGCCATCAATGAGGAATTGGGACAAACCTGAGAATTTTGACACAGGGAATACATAGGCTATCAGAACTAGGGAAGGACACAAAACAGGGGCAACACATACTGACAAGTGGGATATACTGAAGATAAAACACCTGTGTTCATCAAAATAAATCACCAAGAGAATAACAGGAGTGCCCATGGACTGGGAAAACATCTTTAGCAATGACACATCAGACAAAGGCCTTAATACTTAAACCTATAGTACTCTGCTAACTTACATAAAGAAAAAACTAATTGCCCACCAAAGAGGTGGGCAAAGGACCTGAACAGAAATTTCACAAGGGCCGAA